TCTGGACAGGGCTTGCTTGTTTGTTTTTAAAATAATAAAGTTATATTTTTGGCAAATATAAAAGCCTTTCACACCAAAAGTGAAATGAATAAGCCTCAGGCTGAAGGGAAAGTTAATTTACGTCCGTACAGTAGAACGCAGAAGAAGACATTCAACACACACAAATGTTCGTCTAGAGTAATTTGTGCTTGTTAGTACGGTTGAACTGGATCATCGAAGGTCAGAAGCAAAGACATCGGTTAATAGAATGGGATTAAATACATAAAGGACATTTGTGTTGTTTAACATTGAATTATTGCAGGTTTGCGTCATATTCTGAGTTGCATTATTTTTATTCATTTTGAGGAATACTGAATCTGTTTTTTTTGTGAGTGAGATGAATTAATGCATATTCATATTTATTTTAGAACTACAGTAACATCTGATTTCTCTCAACATGGGGACACCAGAGCTGTCAATCAATAAATTGGGAAAAAAAGTAACTCAGATATTCTCTTGTAAATTAAAAAGTAATGCGTTACTTTACTAGTCACTTGAAAAAAGTAATCTGATTACGTAACTCGCGTTACTTGTAATGCGTTACCCCCAACACTGAAGAGCCATCCCTTTAAAAAGAAAACGAAAAAACACCACTCCACGCTCATATATTACACGACATGTAGAAACCTGCATAGAAACTTTACTTTATCATTTTAATATGACAAAAGGAGGAGGAAATGTTATTCAAATATAAATAAAGAACAAATAAATCGGTCAGAATAAAATATACTCAGCCAAACAAGGGGGGGAGGGGTTGGGCATGTAGGACTATCTGGCTGAGTTATATAGAAGAACTGACAGCTTCGGTTCTTCAGTTCTTGGGAAGTGCTCGTCAGTTCTCAGAAACCATATCAGTGCATGGAGGTGTGTCAAAACCTAGCGAGCTCCCTAACTCGACGGCATGTTTGAGTAGCACAGATGCACGCGGGGGGGGGTTTGAAGGCGGCAGGGATCAGATGACATTTAGGGTGACAGGACTTGAAACGCATATGGTGCCTAAAATAAAAACTACCGTGAAACTGTGATGTCTTGAAATGCTGTCTAGGTAGATAGCTCACAAGGTGTTGAGACGCAGCCCGCGTGCTCACAGGAAGCCGCTCTAATGCACCGCACTGTGACATGACCGCTCACGCACTTCACATTGCTGGCCTTTACTCAGAGTAAACAAGTTATTTGAACGCATGAGAATTCGCTGTATGGTTTTATTCGTTTTGCTTGTGGACAAGAATTAAACACAATACACCGATTGAGTTCTAAATCATTGTAAACCCATTTCCACTCACGTTCGGGTTGACCCGAGCTGAAGTGGTTCACAAAAGAAGATGATTTCAGATGTAGCTGCGGGAGGTAAATTCATGCGGACCGTAGTTCTCGGTATTACGCGCATGCGCTGTAACGCAAAGCTGAATTACCCATTCGTTCTCACGGCCCGAGTACGTTACTTGCATAGGACTAACGTTATTAGATAAACATTACAAATCTATCAGGGTAGAATACAGCAGCTTTCCCAAGCGTTCATCCTAAGAACGGCTCAAATGTAATCATTCAGAAGAACCGCATGACTTACATTATAAAGGTTTTGCCACTGTCCAGATGAATCGATGTTCTCAAACTCCTGATCCATTTTTTTCCCGAAGAGGGGTTATTCAAACGGGAACTGGTAAAATCATAAGTCGTCTGAGCTCAAACGAGGGGTCGCTATTCCAATGTTAAAAATGGTCATGATCCCGTGAAAACGGCAAGAAACGGTGCAGTGCGATGCTAACCCTCATCAAAGAGGATAAAATTACCAGCACTTTCAGCACCCCCATCGGCTACTTCCGTGTGCCAGAGGAGAGCGACGAAACAGCGCCCTCTGTCGACAAGAGTCGACATGGCTACCTCGATTACTTCCAGGTGGGAGACTCATACAAGTGTTTCGAATCTTTTGAATCATTTCACCAAAACGATTCATTCACTGACTCTTTGAGAAGGCTGTACTATGTAAGTGTTTCGAATCTTTTGAATCATTTCACCAAAACGATTCATTCACTGACTCTTTGAGAAGGCTGTACTATGTAGTAATTTTATTACCTTGTTTTTTTTGTGGTTGTTACCCTGGCAACAAATGTGTATATTCTGTTGTTTTTCTGTTTTTTTTTTATTTTATTTTATTTTTTTAATCTTGTCTTTATTTATGATTTTGATAATTGTACTGCCTTAATGTTTTAATGTTTGTATTGTTTAATAATAATTTTTTTTTTAAAAAGGCTGTACTATGTAAGTGTTTCGAATCTTTTGAATCATTTCACCAAAACGATTCATTCACTGACTCTTTGAGAAGGCTGTACTATGTAGTAATTTTATTCCCTTGTTTTTTTTGTGGTTGTTTCCCTGGCAACAAATGTGTATATTCTGTTGTTTTTCTGTTTTTTTTTTATTTTATTTTATTTTTTTAATCTTGTCTTTATTTATGATTTTGATAATTGTACTGCCTTAATGTTTTAATGTTTGTATTGTTTAATAATAATTTTTTTTTTAAAAAGGCTGTACTATGTAAGTGTTTCGAATCTTTTGAATCATTTCACCAAAACGATTCATTCACTGACTCTTTGAGAAGGCTGTACTATGTAAGTGTTTCGAATCTTTTAAATCATTTCACCAAAACGATTCATTCACTGACTCATTAGCCTTGTCCAAATACCCACACTTGCAGTCTTGGTCACTTGAGAGCGCGTGCGCGCGACAGGAAGTAAGTGTGCAAGTCTATCCCATGTCTTCAAAATGACAAAGTACAGTGCCCTTAACGCACTAAATCTACCGCTCCAGAGCGCTATTCAAGGCTAAGTGTATCCCATCATGCATCATGTTCTGGAAATAAATCGTGAGACTTTTTGCCGAGATCTCGCGAGAGGTCACGGAAACCTTTCCAATGTAAGTTAAATATTAATATAATAATTAAATATTACAAATAATTTGGTAGAAAAACAGTGTTTTTACTTTTATTGGTGCAAAGATGAGCTATTTTGTACAACATCTGCAACTGCTTTTTATCATTTAATTAGAAGCACCACGAATTAAAATTATGTCATGTTATAGGGACTACTGAACAGACTTTAGAAGTTGATTTTAAAATGCAAAGTATTTCAAATTAAAATTAAAATTAAGCTGTGTAAACACTTGCATTTTAACTTTTTATGAAAAGTTTGACACACAATTGTGGTCTTCATGCTCACTTGAAGACTTCGGCCAAATACAGGAAATACGGCATTTAAGTAATCAAGTGGTCAAGTGCAAAGACTGCAAGTGTGGGTATTTGGACAAGGCTTTTGAGAAGGATGTACTATGTAAGTGTTTCGAATCTTTTGAATCATTTCCTGTCTTTAACTGAAAAATGAGTGTTTACTATTGTCACTTTGCATTATTGACACACTATTTTCCTAATTAATGCTGTTCAGTTGCTTTGACACAATCTGTATTGTTAAAAGCGCTATATAAATAAAGGTGACTTGACTTGACTTGACCAAAACGATTCATTCACTGACTCTTTGAGAAGGCTGTACTATGTAAGTTTGTGTAAAGAGTGGGTCATTCACTCAAGTCATTCACCAACAAAATGTCACGATCTTTTACTAAATTTCCTCATTTACAAATCAAGTTTTTCCACAAATGTCAACTAAGCTCATTTTTTCCCGCCATCCCCATTCACCAATTAGAGCATGCCTTTTCAAGCTATAGCAGAAAGACAATATTAAGCATAAATTTAAAAAAGCACACTAGCATGACTATTTCTGTCACATAAAAAACGCTCCAGCGACCAAAGCATTAAGGTAAATGGGTTATCATCCCCATGGCCTGCTAGAGTTTGTTTGCAATGCATGCAGCATGTGTGCAGTTGAATATGACAAAGTGTGCAAATCTTTGGGTTTTGTATTTTTTTTCTCTCTTAGGTGTGGGATAAGGGTGGTAATGCAGAATGGAACTGCACAGCCAGCTGGAAAGTAGGTCTTACCATAAAACAGTGGTTCTCAACCAGGAGTCCTGGGCCCACTAGGGGGCATCAGCAAACATCCAACGGGGCAAGAGTATAAAGCATATAAATTAATCGGTTATTTATTAACAATTATAATTCTAATCTTATGAAAAATGCTAAAAACTCAGTCAAGTTTAGAATCACATTCTTCCCCAAACCCCCTATAAGTGTGCTGGATGATGAAGTGTTTTATTATTATTATATTGAAAGTAATGTAGTTTACTTCACTGTAGTTTTTATTGAAGAGCTTTCAGTTCTTGAGACTTTTGGAATGACAACCAATTGTGGTTAATTTAATATGGCAACACAGTCAGTTTCTGTTAATGAAGTTTGAAAACAAGCAACTTTGGCATAATTACAGCTATACCGAAAACATTCTAATATCTTTCAATATCCGTATCATTCAAAATATATTGTGTTGGGGGACAGTGGGTCAAGAAGGCTGAGAACCACTGCCATAAGACAATCCCAAATCCTTATTAAACAGACGTGTTCTAAATGGAGCAAATAAGGAGAGATGGTGATGGGGGAAAAGTATGAGATGGGAGGAAAAATCTATACACATTTTTTGTGAGAACAAAAGTTTTCTCTCATTCGGACGGGTTACCAGTTGGATTTTGGTTATCATGAATTGGTGTAGACTCCCAGTGTTGGTCATCATAACCAGGTGTCTTGGGTTTTGTGCTGTACTTTGACAGAAACTTGTGTTTTGTAGACTCACAGTGGCTCGGTTTGGAGAGTGACCTGGGCCCATCCAGAGTTTGGACAAGTGTTGGCATCCTGCTCCTTTGACCGTACTGCCATAGTATGGGAGGAGATTGTTGGAGAGTCCAATGACAAACAACGAGGACAAAGCCATTGGGTAAGAGATCCTTTCTAGTGTGGGCATTTGCCCTAAATAAGTTGGATTTGATTAGGGTTTATACATAGCTGTGAAAGGAGGCTTCCTAAATAAGAGTGGCTAATATGCTAAGTGTACTCTTCTTTGTCTAGTGCTTTTTTTTTTTAAAGACTTATCTTAAGCTGTGCTACATATATTTGACAGTATACTGTATATATTGCACAGAAAGCAGTTATTCTGTGCCAAACATAGCCTGTGCATAACGTTTGTACATTACAACAATCAACGTTTATGTCTCCCCTGTTCTCACATCAGATAAAGAGAACCACACTTGTGGACAGTCGGACATCTGTGACCGACGTGAAGTTTGCCCCGAAGCACATGGGTTTGATGCTGACCACATGTTCTGCAGACGGGGTGGTGCGAATCTACGAGGCCCCTGATGTGATGAACCTGAGCCAGTGGTCCCTGCAGCACGAGATCTCGTCCAAACTCTCCTGCTCCTGCATCTCCTGGAACCCTTCCAGGTGAGAATTCACAAATGATAGATAAACGCATCTATATGTGAATAGATGTAAGCACGTACACCTACACAGTTGTGGAGTTCGTTGCACAATCTACTTTGCAGATGTGCACAATTTGTAACTTGATATATCCTGCATCTGAAAGTCTCCGATAATTGAGATGAAGTTGGGAATCGACTGTGTTCTCATTAGATCTGTGACTGCAAATTGCACAGATATTTTACATGCTTGTCAGCATCGAACGGTGAGGTCAGACGCAATAGCAAAAGTCTCTTTTGACTTTCAAGGCATCTCGGATCACTTTTGAGACTACATTGTCTCATTGAACTGAATCAATGAATGCACCTGTTAGATTAATAAAAATATATTTTTTGTCTTCACAGTTCCCGAGCTCATGCACCTATGATTGCTGTGGGTAGCGATGACAGCAATGTAACGTATGGTGGCAAAGTTCAGATATATGAGTATAACGAAGTTACAAGGTTTGCCTTTATCCTTTTATAGGCTAGTTTACACACATCCAGGAAAAAAAGGAACATCAACATTTTAGACATTCTGAAGTTGGATTTAGAATGGTGTGAAACACAACTATCATTGTTACACTGACCTAAGAAATACCAACAGTTCGCACACAAACCTTTCACACATATCTTTCATACACATTTTAAATACATGTTTCACAGGTTGGATGTTTATTTTTTTGACTTTATTTGGATGGTTGTAGGAAATATGCCAAAGCAGAGACACTGATGACCGTTACAGATGCTGTACATGATATTGCATTTGCTCCAAATCTGGGACGGTCTTTCCATGTACTTGCTATTGCAACCAAAGACGTGCGCATCTTCAAACTGGTTCCACTTCGGTGAGCAGAATGAAACCAAATGTATATTACAGTAGAATGGGATTAATATAAATTGTGTAGTGGTGCCATGTATTTGTCTTTACTGTTTAACCTTGTACATCTATACTTTTAATTATATTACTTTTACTATAATATTCAATAACGTTAAGGTTCTTTAATAATGCAAGCTTTGTTTTTGTAAAGCTGAAAATTCAGAGATATTTAGTTAAATTCTAATTAGATGCCAATAGATCATTTACTTGAATTTGCTTGCTGCTTTTTGAATAACAGAAAGGACAGCTCTTCTTCAGCACCCACTAAATTTGAGGTGCAGGTGTTGGCTCAGTTTGACAGTCATAACTCTCAGGTTTGGCGGGTCAGCTGGAACATCACCAGTACACTTCTGGCTTCCTCTGGTGACGATGGTTGTGTGAGACTCTGGAAAGGTGAGGGTTTGTAATAACAATCATCAAAAGAATGCACCTACTGAAGTGTTATTAATTTATTGTAATTTGACCATTTCACCAGCAAACTATATGGACAATTGGAAGTGCACAGGCATTCTAAAGGGAGATGGTAGTCCAGTATCTGGTCAGCCTGGAGCGCTGAGCGGCGTCCTGGGATCTGCTACTGCACAGAGTGCTCTAAACGGGGCCACTGGAAGATAGATGCCATATGACAGGAGCCAAATCTGGAGCTGAGCACTTCTTTGATACGGGACTTTACACTGAGACCAACTGATTGTGCTTGCTGGACATGCAAGAAGACTGGGACTTACCATGGGTCCATTATTATTATTATTATAAACTGCCTTCAATGAATGTTCCTTAAGTTGGCTTCCCTTTCAGTCTGTGGGATTGTTTTACTCCGGATACAGACTGAAAAATACATGGCCTTTTTGGCATCTTTATTTTGAAATGAGTCGTGTTTAAATGGATGTTCTGATCCCGAAAAGACACCATATCTATATAAGAGGACGTGTTTTATTTTAATGATGTTTTGTTGACATTACAAAGCTGCGAAATATTGGTCTAATTGACTTCACTCTCGTGTTATTGTATGAGAATCATTAAGGTTTAAGCAGCTGGTATATATGAAGTATTCTGAAATATTTGAGCTCGTTTTATTTGAATCATGCATTTCTACGTTTAGTAAAATAGGCGATAACAGTATAATAATCCTTGCTAGGTTACTTTTGATAGATGATTTGATTTCCGTGTATGATAAAGTTTCTGTGAAGGAAAAGGGAAGTTGTATTAAACGCCACGGTGTTAAACACTTCAGCAGAATTGTTTTCTTTTACTATTTATTAAATAGTGGATTGAATATAAAAATCTGACTGGGCCTGAAAAAAAAAAACTAGAAATGTTCTTACCACCACACACAGTCTAATTTTGAAGTAGTGACATTAAAACATTTTCTGGATTTTTAGTGGTTCAATAAGCAATGTTTTCTACAATCCTTGTATTTGTTATTGTGTATGAGTACACATCTTGTCCTGCACTCTGGAATGCTGTGTATGGTTTTAAATCAGAATAATTATTTCTAGTCTTAAGTTTGATCAGGCAGTCCAAACGTGCCATTAGGTTGAATTACAATGTGTTCAGTTAGCAACTGTCCTGCAGGGCTCCCACAGCTGCTCTGTGGATCACATTTCACGATCTCGCAGTTTATGTGGAACGTCATTTGTGTAATTTCGAAAATTATAATTACATAATCATTTAAAATGTTTGATCGTAAGATCTGTACAACCAATTAAAGTCCTCATGCATTCCGAATTCTTTTGCTGTAACTACTAACTGTAAAGTATACACAATGCAACGCTATTTAGAACCAATTTATGTAAAAATGTTTCCTTCAAGCAGCTTCTTCATTCAAAACACACAACAACGTGATTGACACATGAGTTCGCCACTCTTTGAAAGCAGTCAAAAAGAATCGTCCAATGAAATGTGCCGTTATGCTGAAGCCCCGCCCACGCAAAGAGAAACCTAGAGGCGGGATTCTCCCGTAATGGCTTCATCTTTACACTTCGACAAACACTTCTCAAAAAGCGGGGAGGCCAGTGTAACTGCAACGATTTTTAGCATTACACGGATTATCGGTGCTGTATTTGCATGAAGTAGTTGAATGGACTACTTTTATTAAGGCACAAGTACTGCTTTTCCCCTCAGGGTGAGTTGTCTTCGAAACCGATTCCTCTCAGCGTTTTTTTTGTCTGTTTATTGGAAGTAGTGTGTTATTCGAGAGTCCTTTTTGTCTTTTACAGAGTAACTGATATCCAAGCATCATATTTAGAGGATGGACAGTTTTCACTCCTGCATTCCCAAGGGTCAGATGGAGGCAGGGAAAAATTTGTTCTCAGCCTCAAAGAAGATTTGTAAGTGTTCAGCAGTTGTTAATGATTTTTTCCCCATCTGTAAGTGGGTTACAAATCAGTGTGACCTTCAATTTTTTATTTATTTGTAAGACTTTTTTATGACTAAATTTGGTAATGGGAGAGTAAAAATATTTTTAAAACGTACACCGTTCAAACTAGGCTGCTTATGTTGAAGTGTTTGGGATGTGGCTTTTAATGATGATACCTTTTTTGTAATCAGGCTCTCAAAAAGTATATAACAATTTGGATATAGATTTATCGGCCAACATATCGGTTATCGGCTTTCAAAAATAAAGAATAATCGGTTATCGGTATCGGGCAAATTTTTCATATCGGTGCATCCCTAATTTTCTGGTTCATTTTTTAGTACTTGTACTACCTAGTTATTGTGCTTATAATAGTTATAGGCTATTTGCTCTAGTACAAGTAATCAGCTGATATTTGCCAGTTTTAAGATTAATAGCATTGACAGAACTGCTAGTTTTCCATTTTGTCTACAGACAATCTTATCAGTAGGTCAATTTTTTTTCTTCAGCTTTTGAGTTAATAAATAATGTGTGTAATGTAATGTTCGTTTGACTTCAAGCTATTTTGTCTTGTTTTCCTTCATTAAGTTATGTAGTTTTGAATTTTAAACACTTTTTTTTTTTTACATTTTATTGGCCATCAGCCAGATCTGGATTATTGGGAAAACCTGTGTTGCTTGACCGAGTGTGTTCTTTTTTTATTTTATTTTGTTGTGTAGAGACAATGTAGGTGTCTTCATTGCTGCGAATCGGTTCTCTGACCTGCTGGTGAATGTTAATTTGGATGAAACCGAAACCGAATCTGCTTCTGTTTCCAAAACATCATCAGGAGGGGTGGCTGTTCCTCTTGTGTCAGGTTCTGTTCCTCATCAGACTTCTGGTATGTAATGTTTTATTTAATTAAGGCTTGTTGTTCTTAATTTTAGGGTAAAACTAATCTTTCTTACTGATAACGCATGATCAACAATTAATTACAAAATAGTGAATAACATGTATAAACTGAAAAAAATATTTTGAAATGTATATTTTATCTTTCCTTAGACCTCTCAACTGGTCTTCTGTCATTCTCTCATATCGGAGACAAAGATACATTGGCAGCTCAGGTAATTGTTGTGCTCATTGACACTTGAGCACATGAAATAGCAGTCAGAAAAACTATCATATCTATATGTTCAGAAAGTAAGATGAAATTCTTATAAATCAGTGAGATCTTTGTAACAGTGCAGCAGACTACTTGCATAAAATGCATATAAATATCAATTGCCACTCTATCTGCTAGCAATATGTCTTCGTAAGATGATAATTAAATATTTTGTTTTATAATAAAAGCTCTACAGTTTTTATTGTGGGGCGAAACATATAATTCAGAGCAAAATGTTTGACAGATGTACGAACAAACATCTTATTTTATACTCGTATATTTAATACTCACATTTTAACATGATAAAAAAAATTTAAAAAAAGATTTATGGACTTTAAGATAAACTTTAGTTGCTTCAGTCCAGTAAGTGTTTCTTGAAATATTACTAACAACATAAAATCTGTTCATACATTTACTTAATAAAAAGCAGTAAAGATTTCAAAGCAAAAAGACATGTTTACCACAACCTGAAGATGGACATTTTTGGAATTATACTAGACCTTTGACTTGCTAACAATGTAAAAACTATCAATCAGTTGACATAAGGCATGTAGTAGACTGTGTACAACAGGCTATTAGAAAAAGTTTTGATAATTTAGAGGCCTTAGAAATTTGCATATCATATGTTAGGGTTAAGCTCTCTTTTGTTCTCAGGCCACTGTGCTCCCAGTGATGATGGAGGAAGAGGAGGGTTCCGCCAGTGAAGGGACAGACAGTGAAAGGTGCAGTGGCAGCATCGCCAGCTTCCTGGCCAATGAGAAACTAATGTCTCTGGACGGCATGAACAGTGATATGACAGGTTGGTTTAATTTTTTTGTTTTATTTTATTATATGTTCCAAAAGAATAAGCTCTAAAGAACCAAGATAAGAAGGCAATAATTGATTTAAATGAACTTTTTGTCCTCTAGATGATGACATTGATGTGAACCAGCTCCATGATGAGGAACTGGAGCTGTATTTCAATAAGCTGATGCCACCTGCAATGCAGAGAGGCAGAGTAGAAGGACAAGAAATCCCTGTTGTGAGTTCTCTCTTGCTGTTTGTTTACCAAAGCTTACCTTTTTTCTTTTTAATAATATGATCTGTTCCTGTTGTAGGAGTTACCTTCCAGTTTATCTCAACCCCACTCCACTGAACCAGAATGGAACAGACACCATGATGACTATGACCAAGTATGAGTTAATGTTCCTAAAGTCAAAATAAAATCAAAATTAACCTCATTTTCTTTCTTAAAGGGGTCAAGTGATGCAATAAAAAATTTTCCTTTCTCTTTGGAGTGTTACAAGCTCTTGGTGCATAAAGAAGATCTGTAAAGTTGCAAAGACTAAAGTCTCAAATCCAAAGAGATATTCTTTATAAAAGTTGTCAACCACGCCTACCTAAAACGGCTCGTTCTAACATGCCCCCACATGTCTACGTCACTATGTGGGAAGATTTGCATAATGCCGCCCAAATGTTCACGCAAAGAAAGAAGGCGTAACTTTTATTCTCGCTGTAGTATTGTTGTTGCCACCGCCATGGAGTGAAGGTGCTGTGTGTTTCGTTGTGAAAGCGAAACTACTTTGTTTGGCCTTCCAAAAGAGGACGATATCCGCTTCGTCATGCCTAGAGCTGATCCGTGCTGGTCGCTGAGGAAATGCATAAACTTTGCGCTGTGGATCAGCGGATCGTCTTTCGAGACGAAGCGGTCATCACATGTGGTTGCCGCAAGCCTGCCGGATGCTCCTTCGTCGAATCCGCCGGCCGCGCCGTTCTCAAGTCCGCCTGCCCGCCGCCGCTCACTCTAGGCCTCCGGCCTCCACTCACTCTAGCTCACCGTGTGTTTCGTTGTGTAAGCGAAACTACTTTGTTTGGCCTTCCAAAAGAGGACGATATCCGCTTCGTCATGCCTAGAGCTGATCCGTGCTGGTCGCTGAGGAAATGCATAAACTTTGCGCTGTGGATCAGCGGATCGTCTTTCGAGACGAAGCGGTCATCACATGTGGTTGCCGCAAGCCTGCCGGATGCTCCTTCGTCGAATCCGCCGGCCGCGCCGTTCTCAAGTCCGCCTGCCCGCCGCCGCTCACTCTAGGCCTCCGGCCTCCACTCACTCTAGCTCACCGTGTGTTTCGTTGTGTAAGCGAAACTACTTTGTTTGGCCTTCCAAAAGAGGACACGACTAGAAATCAGTGGTTAAGTTGTATTTACAACACTGTTCCAGAACGGTTCAACCCAAGTATCACAGACTGTAAATACGTTTGTTATATTTAAAGAATTTGCCACGGATGATTCAAATGCGAGTTTTGAGCAGTGTAGAGTAGCGCTTGTTGTTTGTCATTTCTCCGATCACAAATGCAGACATGGTTTTATGTTTACGTGGCGCGTTGCAACGCAACGCGTAAAAAGACCGTATAAGTCGTCATAATCCGTAATTATGTCCCCACTGGATGCAACAAATGCCTCATTTATAATTGGTTTTAATGTTTTTGTTTCGTCGCTCCGGCGGGACAGGGCATCACAGTATGGTAAGGGGCGTAACATTTCCGTCACAAGCTTGAGGTATTCGGCTAATCACAATGCACTGGATAGCTGGCCAATCAGAGCACACCTCGCTTTTCCGACCGATGAGCTTTGTAAAAATTTATGCGTTTCAGAAAGGCAGGGCATTTAAGATTAACCTTAAACCACATTTCATTACACCAAATACACCAAATAATGTTATTTTATAGTATATTTTTTGAAAATATTTACTTGTGTATATATATTATATATAAATATTTAATATAAACAACATATATTTTTCTTAAATATATACATGCATGTGTTTGTATTTATATGCACGGCTAATGTTTGCTTTTACTGTGTCACACTACAGAGGGACTTTCACATGCCTGATGTGCGTCTGGCAGCCACAGGTATGGATTCTTGTCCTGCAAGTGATGAAGAGGATACAGAGGATGAACTAGAAGCTTCACGGAACCGGGGTAGAGCAAGATTCCTCCTACCCAGCATCTCCAGACAACCGGTTAGTCTTAAGCTGCTTTCTGCTTTTATTGTTATCTGTGCTTTTAATTTTTGCCCGATTTTTTTGGTAATTCAATAATTCATTTTCAGTTATTTGTATATGGTCAGGTTGGGGAGAGCCGTCGGCCACATTTTCGACCAGGTTTGGAAGGAGGAAGCTCTGATGATGAGCTACAGACGGGGGGGAGGAACCCTGACACCAGGACAGGCATTGAGCACCGCCGCTCAGCAGAGGGACAGGTCATCAACTCGCCTATTACTGGTAAATGGGTGTTTATTAAATAAAATAAAATTTGTCTTAATTAGGGTTTTTGGTTTAAACATTTAGACTGGCAGGAACTAAGTCTTATCACTGTTTTTCTGTGCCATCAGGTGATGGAGGAGGAGACGGGAGTAGTGGCAGTGATGAGGAGGGAAATGGAGGTGTATCTAGCATTCCTTTGCCTCCCACCACAGTCCAGAGCACCTATGATGTGCTTCGTGGTCTTGGCATCGTGGGTGGAAGTGGACAGATGGGACATGATGATCAGCTTCAATCTTTGCTCAGCAGATCAGGCATGATTATGCATGGCCAGGTAATGTTAGTGTCATATGAGCAATTAATAATGATCAGTGTAAAATTTTATCTTTTTAATCAACAGGAACATGCCATTCGGATTTGGGGTAACTTGCTTTTAAATGGGAAGGTTAGACAGCTTCAAAGTTAGACTACAAGCTAACTAAAAATGGCAAACTGCATACATATGATCATCTCTTAAAATGCTTAGAGGATAATTCAAAATGTGTATTTTTTATTTTTGTGTTTTAGCATGTCCTAGCATAATTATGCAAAGCACAGCACAATTACAGATTGTAATTTAATTTATTTTTGATCTCTTCAGATGGGTGATCGTGTTGGTCCAGTTGGCACAGGGGAGACTGGTCATGCTACTGTGGCATCTGGACCTGCCATTCGATGCCCAGTTAATTGGAGCATGAGTCTGGATCGACAGGAGGCTCTTGTAAGTCTTTGTCCGTATTTTTTTGCTGTTGCAAAAATTGTTGATGTTACCCTTAATACTTTTCTCCTTAACAGGATGCAATGGATAACACAGCAGAAGTTCACCTGGATTCTGTATACTTGAGGGCAGGTGCTGGTCATAACCCTCAGGACATTTCTTCTACAGTCAGCCCCTTCCTTCAGGGCACCCAGAGCAGTTTCCACCTCTCTCAGGTACTTCAGGAATCGCATAATAAAACCGAACAAGTGATCGACCTGGGCCACACTGTGGATCTTGGTGCCCTGGGCATGCGTGGTGGCCCTTGTGGGGATTCTCCAGTTCTCAATGAACAGCAGAGCACCAGCAGTAAAGATGATCAACCTGGAGAGTCTCTGGATGCTAGGTACCTTTGCCAGAGCTTTGATGAGAATCATGAGGAACATAATGATATTTGGAATCACCAGCCAGACAATTTGGAGCTTGAGTTACAGCAAGGTATCGGTCTTTTTTCCGTTTCTAATGTGATGTAGTGATGTCAGTGGGTTTCTCTGACATTTGTAGAATTACATTAAGTATTAAAAATAGTATTTGTATTTTATGATTTAGAAATTAATGTTAAGTATTTCCTTAGGCACAAATGCCACTCACAGTGTGGTCTACCAGAATGAAGAGGGAAAATGGGTCACTGATTTGGCCTATTACTCTTCCTTCGAGAAGGAATTGGAGGCCAATATGCCTGAGGAAGTTGCTATGCAGTTTCAGTCTGAAGATTTTCTTGCTGGAAGTAAGTGAAATGTTCTCATTCTACCATTTCTCAATTGAATCAACCTTGTGTTGACTTTCTTCTGCAGAACATGCAAAAATGGTGCATTTTTGCAGATTGTCGCTTTTTTCAATTTAATGAAAGTGAATGCAGAATAAAAAATATTCTGTAGTTCAATCGGCAGAGCATGTCACAAGCAATGCCAATGCATTGTAATTAAGGGGTGCAACGGTTTCGGTACGGTTCGGTATGTGCTAGGTTTAGGGAAAAACCTATTGTCAAATAAAAATAAAATAAGAATAAATAATCTAACTACAAGCAACAGCACAAATAAATACAATAGAGCAAAGATACAAATAAAATAAACAGTGCTTTTCAGGTAGGTCTAACATTAGTTTTTAGGTACAGAAATTGAATAAAGTAATCAAATGTTAAATAACATTGCATATTTGACTGTATAAATTAAAGATGAATCCTTATTAAAGTTACAAAAATGATTCAATCAAGAGCAGTGAGTGATTTCCGTGTTGTTGCTGTTTGATAAACATTAAGAAAGTGCTGTCACTTTAAGACAATGCACGGATCCAGTACACTGACGGGGCATTTTGACATAATTCTTGTGTGATTTTGTCCATTCAAGCACAATACTTCAAAGAGAGCTTAATATTTGCAGGGCTTAAAGTTCTCTGGCACCATGCCGGATCTCCGCCGTGCAGCATTTGGCAGCAGAAAAAAATAATCCTACATTTAAAATAAATAAATAAAACTTGTTGAGATCACTTTCGAGTAGGGTTATGACGGTGAGGAAATTTTCCCACCGGTTAATCGAACAAGCAACAGCACAAATAAATACAATAGAGCAAAGATACAAATAAAATAAACAGTGCTTTTCAGGTAGGTCTAACATTAGTTTTTAGGTACAGAAATTGAATAAAGTAATCAAATGTTAAATAACATTGCATATTTGACTGTATAAATTAAAGATGAATCCTTATTAAAGTTACAAAAATGATTCAATCAAGAGCAGTGAGTGATTTCCGTGTTGTTGCTGTTTGATAAACATTAAGAAAGTGCTGTCACTTTAAGACAATGCACGGATCCAGTACACTGACGGGGCATTTTGACATAATTCTTGTGTGATTTTGTCCATTCAAGCACAATACTTCAAAGAGAGCTTAATATTTGCAGGGCTTAAAGTTCTCTGGCACCATGCCGGATCTCCGCCGTGCAGCATTTGGCAGCAGAAAAAAATAATCCTACATTTAAAATAAATAAATAAAACTTGTTGAGATCACTTTCGAGTAGGGTTATGACGGTGAGGAAATTTTCCCACTGGTTAATCGACGTGTGACAACACCGATAATACCGGTATCACCATGGGGGCAGGGGCTTTTCCTCGCTTTCCTTTGCTTTTAAATAGCTTAAAAGCACCGTGCGAATTTTACTTTCACTTTCGAGTTGGCGGCAATTCGGCATCGATTGCTTGAATATAACAACAAAATACAACGTCAAACTCATTTTGGTCTAATATATATATAAAAAACACAGAACTTTTATTAACAAAACGAATAAAAATACACCATGATATAGGGCAGGCTATGCCTATTAGGGGTGCTCCGATCAGCATTTTTGAGGCCGATCGCCGATCACAGAAAGCAGTATCTACTGATACCGATCTTTTTAAAGCCTTTTTTTATCATTTATAACTATTTATAGTGATACTCCAGTCTGAATTTTTTAGACATTTATTCAGGAAAATTGAAAATGGGGGGGGAATTCCCCTCTTAGGTGACTCTTGTGAGAGGGGAAGCAGCTTTCACACAGGAGTCCGCTACTGATCCATGGCTGATTACCACAAACACAACATTTATCCATTATTTTGATTTCAAATCCAAACATTGTCACTGAAAATGCTTTTTCAGCATTGCAATTCTTTTTTTTACACAGTACAGTAATACAATCTTTCACAGACATGTTTAAACACAATAAATATAAGCAACACATTATTCAATGCTTTTTACTTTTGCATTTACTTCTAGATTTATATATTAAGTTGTTCAAGCAATTGGCAAAACATTTAAAGTACTTTTCTTACGTTATCACAAACTTACCATTGACAGAAACAGTCAGCTCTACTGCCTTTTCTTTTGCATTGAAATCTTTATTACAAGCAATCCCAATATTTTAATATTGGTCAAAGATTTTTTTTTTTTTCAAGATATTGGTTTTGCTGCTGAATTATAGTCAGCTAGTTTAATTTTAAAGCTTATATATTTTTATTCAAATGTAGTTTTTCTCTGTAATGAGGAAGTGAGTATTTAGTGGATTGTGTTTAACAAAGGGTTTAAAAGAGTGACCATTAGTTCCACAAACACAGTATTGATATTCTGTAGTGGTGTAGAAAAAAAATAGTGGATCAAAATAATCAGTTGTTTACCAAAATAATCATTAGTCAGCCCTAGATTAGTTAAAATATTTCAAAATACAACTGCATTGTTTTACTTTTTGTAATGAAAATTTCTTAAAAATAGTATTAAAATATTGCCTTGTTCTAGTGAACCAAGTATCTGTATTTTGTCTCATCTCTCTGTATTGTCACACCCCTAGTGTCGATAAGCGGTGATATAGCTCATAATTTTTCAAGTGTATGATATAGCTTTCATTCTTCAGGTCAACCATATATTCATGAAAATAAAACAGTTTGAATAAGGAAAGCAATAATTTTGCCATAGAATCCTTTCAAATGTTAAAGAAAGGACCCCCGCCCCGCCCCTGTAAAAAAGTTTTTGCTTTAACCCCTGTATTTACGCGCGTTCTGAGACGCGGGTTCACATGCTTTGGATGAGCACACGCACAGATGTTTGTGTCTTCTGGCTCTTTAATATTTAAACTGGCAAGGCTTAAATGAGTTTAGTTTAAACACAGATAGCAACGTGTGCTGTTCAGGTCTCACCCGGCATAAATGGCAGTTGTTCCAGCATACAGCACTCGCATTGAACAAAGAGTAACTGGTTTGTCCATGTTTTGTTTGTTTTTGTTGTTTTTTCTCATCGCTCTTGTAATGTGTTGGGAAGCCAGAATGCGTATCCATCAACAGAAACATGCATTAGCCGAACTCTGTTCTGAACTGTTGCACCCCTAATTGTAATTGTCTGGCAGTTATTTAGTTTCTCCTGTTGTTTGAATGGTGAAAGGCAGTCATGTGTGTTTGTAACAATATTAAGTACATTGACACATTGAATGAGTTAATACATTAAATGAATTATTTGAATTCATTGCTTTCATTGCATAATATTGTATAACCTTAGGCCAGGCCATGGACAAGATAATTGAGGATCAGGAGGAGTTTGAAAAGGACCACCAGTTTATGCAGGTATGATCGGTTCCCAGGTATTTTGAGTTCAAGCAACCTAGATCCTAGAACCTAGAAGTTTATTGTACACAAATGCTCTTAGATGTGATTCAGCAACCAAAAATGTGTTTTTTTTTGTTGTTGTTGTTTTTTTGTCTTCTGGTAGGAAGAGCAGATTCAAGCTGTAAATATGAGTGAAGTGCTGGGAGACACATCTTGGAAAATCCCAAGTAGTAGTAACATCCTCATGAGGGCCTCCCAGGTCTCCTCTGAACTTGAGCCTGGGAACCAAAGTTATCTGCGTATTTCACTGGGGGAGTTTTTTCAGAGGCGCTCTGAAGCTCTGGGGTGCCTTGGGAGCGCTGAAGAGGACAATGTTAAAAGGGTGAGGACTCTATCCCTAAGCAGATATCATCTAAGGTAACATCCTCACTGAAATCTAACCTCAAAGTTGTCTCATTTGGAGCACTCTGTGTGTTACACAAATGACTCTAGCCATGTGAAGTGCACCAACAACCTGATTACAATTGCAAAACTGTTTCTGTAGATCAGATTAGTATGGCACTAGCAACGCAAATATTAAGAGATCACTTCCTATGATATGCATGAACTCAATGTGGGTCTTGAATGCAATGCAAGTCAATGCTGGTATCAAATCTGGCCAGACGATACGTTAACAACCTTCCCATCAAAAATGTGCCTCGAATGCCGTAGAGCAGAGGCATTCAGTTCTGTTCCTGAGTAGTCAATGTCAAGCCAAGTTTAGCTCAAACCTGCCCAAACACACTTGCCTGGATGTTTCTAGTAATTCTAAAGACATTGATTAGCTGTTTTGGATGTTTAAATATTATTATAGCTAAACTCTGATGGAAGGTAGCCCTTCACAACCAAGCTTAAATGATAGTTATTCAACCATTTATTTGTTTTTTTAGCCATCTTTTGGATACTTCATTACATCCCCTGAGAAGAGGAAACCTGTTGCGTTACTTCGACCCTCAGATTTGTTCTCCAGAGGAAGCTCCATCAACATTGAGACAGTTACGCAAAGTGATGCTGATGAGACACTTAATCCAGGTGCGTTCACCATATTCATTAGTTATTTATTTAATCATTGTTTTTTCTTAAGTCATTTTGATGTCCTTTATGTGATCTACAGATGATCTAGATAAGACTCTTGAGACCAACACTGCTGAAGCCACACATGAGAATAATGTTCCACCGCAAAGAACTGAGGGACAGGTTTCCCAGGTATTGATAACCAGTTAGCTTTGGACTGCTGCCACAGAGTCTTTTAAAAATTAGCAAAACTGTTGACACTTTTTGTCTAATTTGATTAGATCTCTGCACAATATGGAGATAAGGAGAGTTCTGGCCATTCAGAATCACCCAACCCCAGCAGCAGTCTTCTGCTCAGCATCAGTACAATTGCATCTGCAATTGCTGATGCCTCCATCAGCTCAGATCCAGCACAGCTTGCTGCCATGATCATGGAGCTGTCCAAACGGAGCCGCTCTAAAAGCCGTCAGCAAGTAGCAGAAGAGTCGATTATGAGTCCTGATTCTGTAGCAGCCATAAATCAAAATGGGCTGCTGGAGGATCTGCAGAAGACCACATCAGTGGGTGACCTTAGTACTCCTGACATGGAGAAATATCTGAAGAGGGCTGAGGTCTCAAGTAGTGACAGTGATGGATCCACCTCACAGTCCTGCTTGGACATCCTCACTTTGGCTGATAGTTTGGCCAGTTCTAACAAGCTGACTCAACAGCAGTTGGCGCCTCTGGAAAATGGATCCATCCATAACAATGAAGAGCAAGCAGTAGGCAAAACATTTCAAAAACTGGCAGGTAATGCGTCGAAACAAACAGAGGGTACTTATGTTGTGTCACCAAATCCAAGGTCAGATGTCAAACGAAGTGCAATTCCTCGACCCAAGTCAAGCAGTTTACCAACTACCACTGTGTATCCAGCCAAAAGATCTTTAGGTTCTGGGCAGTCATCATCTTCCACATCCTTCAAATCAAAAACTGTTGATTTCAAATCTGGCATTGAGAAAAACAAAAATGACTATCGTGCAGCACCATCCACCAATAAAAGTGTCCCTGAATCCAAGATCAAAATAGGAACGGCTCGATCACCAGTAGCCAGCACTTCCACCACAGGTAACCGCCGCTCTCTGAAAGGTGAAGGGACCATGTCAACTCCTGCTTTTTCCCCAAAGACCTCACCTGGCCTTTGCCGTTTTGAAGTATCGTCGTTGAAGACCTCCCCACACAAACCCAAGACAACAGGAGGCCGGGCAGACAAACCTGCCATTAACCAGGCACGATCACCCAGAAGCCCTAAAGCCACTCAGTCAGTTTCAAAAGAGAAAATTGCAGCTGTTGATCGTCAGGATTCCCTGCCAACAACACAGGAAAAATTTGGTATCTCTTTTCTTTTTCTTTTTAAACAAATACAAAACCAGCAGTATTATAGATTTAGCATGTTAAAAATCAGCGTGAAATGTTGCTTAATGTGCTTGAACACCATGCAAGCTTCAGAAAATTTGGGACATCAACTTTATTTACTACTTTTTATTGAAGGCTCCCCTGAGAGCAGTGTCCCTGGTGTTGTGGAGGTCACCCATTGTAATTTCAGACCATCCACTTCCCCTCTTACCCACTCCAGTCCAAGCCAGACCTCCGTTCCAAGTGGATATGGGTAAAAAATTGTTTATCTAACAGAATTGCATATTGCCTTTTTTGTGGTGTAAGCCACTTTCATTTGTGAGGAGGGGAGATGATTCTTATTTGTTTATTTTTTAATTATTGATTATTGTTAATCAACCGTAAGTTATTGTGTAATGTGTTTTAAGTGGTTCAGTACATGGATAAATAATGGCCTGGTTTGACACTTATCCTTGTGTTTTGGAAATAGAGAGATGTCTCCATGTTCCCCTAGTAGTGGAAAGGCTCAGAGGAGTCCTGCTGGCGATACAGGTTCCCCTCAGTCCCATTGTTCAAGCCCATCTCTCAGTAGACTGACTTATCTCTCCATTAATGAGAACACTTGCATGCCCACCCTTGATCACCATAAGGTGAGTGTTTAACCCCATCTTATTTTTATGTGGATTACAATATAAACCAATTAGCTATTTAGGAAGTAAATTTGTTGCGGTTCCTCAAAAGCCTGATGTTTTATAATTGATGCTAGGGATGGGCAATAAAACGATAACGATAATTTTTGCAATATAATCTTTGAAACAATATCACTCATTAGAAATTGCAGAAACTAAAGATATTTATTTTGTTTAAAAAATGCCTGAAAAAGTGCAAAAAAAAATCATTCAAAAACATAGCCTTTTACTTGGAGCCCCTGCCCCTTTAATTGGCGGTGCAAAAGTGCCCTTTTGGTTCCGTCAAGGTGCCCCCAGAACCCCCATAACGCAAATTCCACGAAAAGTGACACCCTAACCCCTGTGCACACCAGTACATTAAAGTGATATTTTGGTTTGCATAGATTAGAACTTCTTCTATATCTAGATTTATCTTAGGACTGTATTGATTATTGTAACACTATCCGGGGTCGTCACATGTGATTGCCGCAAGCCTCCTTCGTCGAATCCACGCCGTTCTCTAGCCCTCCGGCCGTTCCTCACTCTCTGCTCACTCTAGGCCGCTGTGTTTCGTTGTGAAAGCGAAACTACTTTGTTTGGCTTTCCAAAAATGGACACGACTAGAAATCAGTGTTTAAGTTGTATTTACAACACTGTTCCAGAACACTTCAACCCAAATATTCAGATGTGTGCAGCACATTTTATGGAGGACTGTCTACTGATCCTGGTTGAGTAGACTACAATGCCGGCTGTTCTGACTCACAGATTTTAAGTAAGTTTTTTTTATATTTAAAGGGAGTTTTTTGGGCAGTGTAGAGTAGGGCTTGCTGTTTGTTATTTCTCCGATCACAAATGCAGACATGGTTTTATGTGTACACGGCGCGATGCAACGCGTAAAAAGACAGTATAAGTCATTTATAATCCATAATTATGTCCCCACTGGATGCAACGAATGCCTCGTTTATAATGGGTTTTCATGTTTTTGAATCATCGCTCCGGCCGGACAGAGCATCATCACAATATGGGAGGGGCGTAACATTTCCGTCACACGCTTGAGGTATTTGGCCAATCATAAGGCACTGGATTGCTGGCCAATCACAGCAAACCTTGCTTTTCAGATCGATGAGCTTTGGAAAAATCGACGGGTTTCAGAAAGGCGGGGCATAGAGGAGAAACAATAATGTACAGTATGTGGAAAATAATGTTTTCTGAACCTTAAACCACATAAACACATTTCATTACACCAAATACACCAAATAATGTTCTTTTTATCAACATCATATGACCCCTCATATGAAGAGAGATTGTGTTGTGAGTGTAGGGCTGGGCAATATATAACAAAAAATTATAACTCTATATTGTCAATTTATAAGATATTCGATATATCTCAATATGTTTGTATTTGTTTTTAAATAATTTAAAAAAACATGAATTTCTTTTGCCCCCATTAAAAAAAACAACAAAAACAATTTAGAAGTTATTGTTACAAAGTAAATACAAAATGTTTAATGCAAATTTAAGCAGTTAAAAAAAATCTACACCAAGTGATCACTTACTGCTTTTTATTAAATGAACACATGTATATGTAACTGAAGTATGGCAAAACAAGTACAGACATATACACCCATATATAATTAATACCAAAGACTTATGCACTCTCTCCGTCTATATTATGAAAACTGGTAAAACAAATAAAATATTATAACAGTGAAATTCCTAATAGTAATTCCAAATTGCCGTAGCCTATGTTTCTTTATTCAAACAACAGCGGTTGTGTAAGTGCATTTATTCAGCGATCACAATCGCAAACAATACAGTCCAGATCTCATGACAGAACACAGACTGGTTGAGTGACACTTTCATTTATATCGCTAAACTCCAGCTTGTTTGTTGGTGTTTTTAGATCATCGGTGGCGGTGCTTCCGCAATGAGGAGCGAGCGCGTGCGCATGTTTGCCAGATTGCTTCAAATAAGCAAAACAATGGGCAGAAAATGTATGCTTGTAACAGCGAAGCTTTTATTCGGGGATTTGAACTATTGATATCTGGCAACCGCACTAATGAAAGCTCGCGAAGTAGAGGCGTGTAGAGCAGTCCGCAATAACATGTTGTCTCCTTTTTTGGACGTTCGCCGCATTCTTTTGGGAAAGTATGCTTGAATTTGAAATATTCGATATTGACGATATTTTCAAATTTTACATCGTCAAAATTATTGTGATATTATCGCTAATATTCGATATATCGCCCAGCCCTAGTTGTGGGTAATATAGTTTATCCAAAAATAAGATGTCTCATGTCTTTTTTTTTTTATTTTTTTATATCGTTATGACTTACAAAAGGAGATATTAAGCAGAGTGATGCATCAGTCAGTCAGTTACATTTTCATGCAGTTTATTAAATGGTGAATGAGAATGTCTGTCATTCCATTTTGTGTGCCAAATATATTTATTTGTATTATAAAAAAAAAAATTTAATTGTATAGTAGTAATGTAAATGACATTTTCAAAAGCTGAAGGGATAAACGGGGGGTCTTTGAATATTTTTGTGGTCATTGGGAGGCCTTGCAGTCAAAGTTTGAGAACCACTGGTGTAATGGAGACATGTCTTATTCATTCAGTCCACTTTTGTGTGCAGTATTATAATTGTCATTTCATTACAGGTGGAGTCTCTCCCATTCCAGTGGCTGATAGTAAAGAATAAGACCATAATTGGACCCAAATGTACAGAAGAACAGAGGGTTTTATTTATAGCACCAAGGTCTGGACTGTATCAGTATACTCTCAGTGTGTCATCCTGGCCTGCATCTGCAGAGTCAGAGACTGTGGCGCATGCTGAAGTCTTTGCTAAGAAAGTGGTGCTGATCGCTGTGGCTGAGAACCCAGTGATCGAGGTTAGAGTTCCCTTTGTCCCTGTTGCCAGTTTCAGAGCACTAATACTGCATGTAATTGAATTTTTTTTATGCACAGGATTAATAGTATGGCAGTTTTATCCTTGAAAGTTGTTAATATTTTTCTGTAGGTTTTTTTTTAGAAGTTATTTATTATTTAATTTTTTTTAATTGAATAGGTTGATGTTGGAAAGACAGGCTGTCTGGACTTTTGGGACATGCCGGGGGGCAGTTCCAAGGCCCTGCCGCTCAAGCTGGTCAACAGGACTCATGCCACTGTGCCTATTCGACTAGTTATCAGTGCGGTCAGTGAGATCTGTCTTTTTGGATTTGAAAAATGTTTACCTTATTTGTGTATGATGTATTTCTGTATGTGTATGAGACTTCTGACTGAAAACTTAGACCTCATCCAATGGCATGTTGAACAAATTCAAGGACAAAGGTTTTGTCTTTCACAGAATGCATCAGCATGGCATTGTTTCGGCTTCTCGAAGAGCCCAGTTGCCATGACCACGGATGGTTCCCTTCATACTGGCTCAAGTCTGACCTCGCTTTCAACTTCATCAGTCATAAACCATGTGCTGCATGCCAGTTATGCAGAGGTGAATATTTCTTTAAATTACTTTCTGATTTGATGGCAGTTTTGACTGTTTAAATACATTTTTATTCATTCTTCAGAATCAAGAAAGCTGCTTGGTGTGGGTTCATTTCAGTGCACCACAGAAGTACATTTCAAGTTCAGGTATGCATGTAAACCTTAACACTGATACAGGTTGAACATTTCTTAACTGGTGTCTAGTTTTATTTTAGTGTCATTGAGATACTATTCTAGTTTTAAATATATTTTGACTTTTAATTTGTATTTTTAGTTAACTATAGTAACCCTGCCCTCTATACAGCAAAATGGATCACAGACTGAACATGAGATGCTGTATTTTTTTTTGATGCAGGTGAGTTGGGGCCAGCTGATGAATACAGTGCACGGGTGGATATTGAGGTGGACAGTCCAGGCCCCAGTCATGTGATTCAGAGTGTAGCCCTGAGGGCAAGGTCAGGCACTCCCAGAGTGCATGCACCCAAAGACCTGCAGGTAATGGATAAAACATGTCACAAGACACACTTAGCTTTTTGAGGTTATGAAATGGCTTCAGTTTTATTTTTTATTAATTTATTTGATTATTTACTAGCTTGATGTTGCTTATTTACTACCTGAATGTCTGTACAGACGGTGTGTCTTCAGGCTCCTTTGGGGCAGACAGCCAAGCAGACTCTTCCTTTAAAAAATGCAGGCAACATTGATGTTCTACTCCGAGTAAAGGTACCTGATCATGAGCTTTACTTTTTAACACAATTGTATGTTTCATACATTGACTATAAATAGCCTTGAATGTGCCTTGCAACAACACTACAGTGTTAATCTATGTAGCTTAGCCTTTGCTGTGAATTCACTCCTTGTTTTCTTTGGGCTGTTTTTCAGAGTACTTGTGGAGACAGCCGTTTCACTGTGAGGCCAGAGGAACTGACTCTGAAAGCTGGAGAGGAGCAGGGTGTAGTGGTCTCCTTCACTGCCCAGGACAAACAGAAACTCGGGGAGAGGCATGTTCAACAGATTGTACTTTTATGCCTTTTTGTTTGCATCTGAGGTTTTTATTTATTACTTTTATTAATTTCGCTACAGTTCAGATTGTCTGAAATCTAGTTTGACTCTTTAGAGGGGGAAGTGTATTTTTAAAATATTCTTGCTACTTCGTAGTAGGGGCTTTTGCACCGCATAGTTCTAGGAACTAGCCAGCATGGTGGTTCCTAGAGAACCAGTTTCCCCCTCGGGCCGTTTTCCTGGTTGCATGCAAACCAGCAACGGGAACTCTGAAGCGGCCACCAGTGATGTCTTTGTCTAATTAGTGAATGGAAGACATGTGATCAGAGCTTCGTGATAACGGAGATGGAATGTTGAACGCACAATTTACACTATTGAAAGAACGTGAAAATCTGACAATCTGCGATAACAACTTTAAGTTTTACATATCATCAAGGCTGAGAAAAAAAAACACAGCGCTGCAGACAACAAGTAGCTAAATGCAATTATCGCTGTTTTCCATGTTTGCCAATCAGCGTACACTTGCGACACTGGTAGTTCCTATAGAACTGTTTTAAACCCTACTCTAAAGTATGAGCTAATTTTGTTAGCCCCCAAACGGAGTTCCTAGAACTAAATATGTTCCTATTTCCTGCAGTGCGAAAATGCCTACTTCCGCCAATAGTTCTAGGAAGGTTCCTCTGGTGCGAAAGCCCCTAATGTACTTTCGGGTAACATTTGATTTCTTTTCTCAGCATGTTGACGATTTTGGTTCTACCCAGTGGACCTCAGTATGAGGTGATGCTGAAAGGAGAGACGGTCCAAGGAGTTTCTGGGAAAGTAGTATCTCTACCTGCTGTGTTATCACAGGCTGAGGTCCCACCCATCCTCTCCAACAAACAGTTCATGGCATGGGGAGGGGTTACCCTGGGCAGAGCAGTGTGAGTTTACATAGCCATAGAAACTGCCATTTCATAAAAGTGAATTGGATGGAGATGATGCTTTTGTGTTTGTAGGCAACAGAAACTGGTGCTAAGGAACAATTCACCCACTACATCACAGCAACTCAGACTGCTCATTAGGGGCCAAGACCAAGACTGTTTCCAGGTAAGCTAACACATTGAGAAATTTCGTTTTAGACACTGAGATCTATAATATATGGAGCTCCTAAGGGGGCATGATGATGACAAAGTATTTCATAACAATTAGTAATCATTTTTTCAACACTTCATATTCTATTTTATAGTATAGTAGTATTTTGTCATGCGAGTAATCGTAGGTAATGGATAAATATGCATTCTGTCCCAAGATTGCTGTAGGTACAGCAATTATGAGCAGCCAGCCAACCAGTTCATTGGTTTTGTAGAGCCAGTGGCAATATATTCACATCTGTCTATCCATTTATCCTTTCTCCCACTTGTCTGTTTCTGTGAATCTCAACCCTGCAGCTGCAGAGCTCATTCGGCCCAGATGAGCGACTGACACGTAACAGAGAGCTGTCAATCAAACCCAAAGAGGATGTGACTGTTCATCTGCTCTTTGCTCCCACCCGTGTTGCATCCATGCTGGCCAAACTGGAGATCAAGCAGTCTGCTGCACGTGCCTCCCAGCCTGGGGTCAAGTTCACTGTGAGTTTATTAATAATGCCTCATAAACCGTAATACTGTTGTAAATACTAGAGGTCGACCGATAGTGGTTTCCCGCTCTGTTCAGCGTGCAGTATCACGTGTCTAAACAAATAGCACATGCTGTCAGTGACCCTTCTCAGCCGCTCCAGCAACGGATGCAACCCGGAAAACTATCGGCATGGATTTTTGCCGATAACCGATAGTTCTAGCAATCAACTATCGGTGCCGATTAATCGGCAAAGCCGATACATCGGTCGACCTCTAGTAAATACTTGGTGTTACATTTTAGCGTGGTGTTCTCAGATCCCTCTGTCAGGCTATGGCGGCACGAGTAACGTGATCCTGGAGGAGTTGAGGAAGCGTTCTGAAGGCTATGTGGCCACGCTGAGTGGAGTGCAGGCAGGACGTGTCAGGAAGCTTTGTGTGTGTGTGAGAAACACGGGTTCACGTGCTGCTTTCGTGAAAGCGGTATCCTTCAGCAATCTTCAAAATCGAGCTGTCATGGACTCAACCATTATTAGCTTGTCCCCTTCACAGTTTGTCCTGAAAGAGCGAACACAGGAGGTGAGCCAAGTGCATGTTTTGTTTTAATGCCTGTATATGCTTGGAAGATTTATCAATGCTGTTTCTGCAGGTGATCACAATAGCAATGAAGGCTTCACGCAGAGAGCAGGCTATCTGTCAGTCTGGTGCAGCTCTTCTTGCCACTGTCTGCCTCTTCTGTGGGGACGAGGTGTCTCGACAACAGTTCAGGAAGTCAGTGGCAGTTCTCATTTGACTTGAATTCTCAGCTTAAATAAGAATATTTTAAAAACATTTTAGTGTTAAAATAGGAGCTTATTTCTTTCTTTTACGTTTTTCAACAAAAATCTTTTCTATTTAGTATTTTAAAAAATGTCTGAGAATTTTTTTGAAAAAAATTAATTGAAAGATCTGTGACTTGATGTCTGAATCAAAAATAGGCAGATGACACGTTTGAGTAATTTATGTACTTTTGCAGTTAAACATTTATTTTAAAACTAACCAAATAAAAATGTATACTTTCTAAGAGCCCTCTATCTTTTCAATTGAACAAAGTATTGAATAAAGTTTTGCATGTAGCCATGCATAGTTCCCTGTAGACCTTTTTAGAAATGAAATACAATTACTAGTATATTATTCCCACTAACCAGCTAGAGATATGACCTCCGATATTCTTATTAAATGTCTAATCTGTGAAACTTAATCTGTGAGAGGACAGTTCAGTGTATTTTTACACATTTAGTCTTTTTTTTTAATTTTTTTATCTGTTTTCAAGGTTACTACAAATCAAACCAGAAGCAGGGAATAAAGTACTTAATTGAAAGATCTGTGACTTGATGTCTGAATCAAAAATAGGCAGATGACACGTTTGAGTAATTTATGTACTTTTGCAGTTAAACATTTATTTTAAAACTAACCAAATAAAAATGTATACTTTCTAAGAGCCCTCTATCTTTTCAATTGAACAAAGTATTGAATAAAGTTTTGCATGTAGCCATGCATAGTTCCCTGTAGACCTTTTTAGAAATGAAATACAATTACTAGTATATTATTCCCACTAACCAGCTAGAGATATGACCTCCCTGATATTCTTATTAAATGTCTAATCTGTGAAACTTAATCTGTGAGAGGACAGTTCAGTGTATTTTTACACATTTAGTCTTTTTTTTTATTTTATTTTATCTGTTTTCAAGGTTACTACAAATCAAACCAGAAGCAGGGAATAAAGTACTGTCTGAGAACAGCTTATTAAAAAGTATCCCATTTGATGAAATGTTCCTTGGAGAGGAGCAGGTTCAAGAGGGTAAGATGGCAAGGATTTGCTCAAAATGAATTAGTTTAATCAATTAACTGACCTTGATTGTGGCTTTATTTGTTTTCAGCCTATGATCTGCCTCAAAGGCCAAATGAAGCCCAGATTTTCTATAGCAACATGAGCAAAGTTATGCTGTCGCTATTTGGCACTATGGAAATGTCAGACTCTGGAGAGAGTGACCATATGGAGTCCGTCAGGCCTTCACAAAGGCACACCTCTGAATCAGACAGGTAAACATCCTCAATGAACAACATACTGAACAGAAATGAATGCTTTCAGATTTCAGCATGCTGATGAAGTTAATGTGTAGTTCTCTACTCAGCGGTTTGGGGTCATCAGGGCGCTACATCAGTAATGTTTCCCTGGATGTGCTACCAGTCAAAGGTCCTCCATTAAGTCCATCGGAACCTGTGCTGAAACAAACAGAGCTGAACCTAGAGAACACCTGGAGCATCAAGCCTGAACAGCTGGTTCTCACTGCACCCACTATCAGTAAGACACATTTGAGTTTAAAAAGTGATATTAAAAATGACCTCAGGTGGTTTTAATGAATGTTGTTTGACTCAAAGAAAATGCACTTAGCAAGTGAATGCTTCTCCCTCCAAATGTTGTCTTCTGCTTGTTCATTTGCAGACAGTGTGGCTGACACCAGACATGTGCAGATACTGAACCGCTCGAACAGAGAGCTGAGCTTTGAGCTGTCCTGGCCAGCTCACTGCCTAACCATCACCCCACAGCACGGAGTCATTGAACCTCAGTACGAGACTTGCATATAAACAAACATCGGGAAAATCAATGACTTTTTGTTCTCATTTTTAATTGAAAGTACATAGCTTATATAAATGTTTAGCATTTAACAAAATCTATAGCCGTATTTTGTTTTCTTTTTTTTTTTTTTTTTCAGGAGCCACTTGCAAATCCTCATCAGTCCCAATCCTTCTCTTGCAACCAAATCCTCCATGCTGCCCTGGAGTGGACAGATCTATGTACAGTGTGATAATCAACAGAAGGTATTCATTTCTGGAGATTTGTGTGTTATGTCTGACTGAAGAGGGAATGTATAAGTTTTCTATGATTGTTTTTAAGTTCAAGACATGGTTTCTAGTTCATAACATGCTGTTGAATTTACAGTAATGAACTTGCATATGGAACAACACATCTTTTTTTTTTTTTATCCAAAGAAACTCCGATTATGTGAATTCTTCTGTACAAAATGGAGATAATACAATACAGTGCTGTTCAAAAGTTTGGGATCAGTAAGATTTAAAAAAAAAAAAAAAATTTTATATAAAGAAGTTTCTTATCTACATCAAGGCTGGATTTATTTGCACAAAAATTGTGAAATCTTATTGCAATTTAAAATAAGTTTTCTATTTTAAAGCAGCACTATGTAACTTGGCGCTCTAGTGGTTAATAAACAGAACTGCACACATCCCGCGGAAGAACATTACAAACGGAGCTACAGGTGCATCTCAATAAATTAGAATGTCGTGGAAAAGTTCTTTTATTTCAGTAATTCAACTCAAATTGTGAAACTCGTGTATTAAATAAATTCAGTGCACATAGACTGAAGTAGTTTAAGTCTTTGGTTCTTTTAATTGTGATGATTTTGGCTCACATTTAACAAAAACCCACCAATTCACTATCTCAAATTAGAATACTTCATAAGTGATACTTTTTTCAGGATTCTTTGATAAATTTAAAAAGAACAGCGATTATTCAAAATATAATTTTTTTTTGTTACAATATACACTACTAATCAAATGTTTGGGGTCATGTGATGCTGGAGTAATGGCTGATGAAAATTCAGTGCTGCATCACAGAAATAAATGATATTTTAAAGTACGGTATATTAAAATTGGAAACCAATATTTCACAATATTACTGTTCTGTATTTTTGATCAAATAGATTTAAAAACATTAAAAATCTTACTGATTCTAAACTTTTGAATGACAGTGTAGATGCGCTCTCTGTAACTCCCATCCTTATGTCTCTTTCTCTAAAGTCCATTAAAGTTCAGATCCGGCAAGATCTGGCCATGGATGTTTCTGCCACTAGCTGCGCCATGGACCGCTCTTTACGCCCACTGCCACCTCAAGCTGAGACCCCTTTAGTACCAGGACAGAAACTTCAGAGCAGCAGCACCCAGCCTCAGGTTGAGATCAAGAACCGAACGCTGGTCTTCCCTCCCACTGCCTCTGGAGAATCATCAGGTAAGTACAGAACCTGTCAACTGAATATTTTCTTTTTTGTACAGTAACACAATTTTGATTGATTTGAGACACTGACTTTCAATAGGATTCTGAAATCTTGGCCTATTAAAATGTAAAAGGAAAACAATTGTTTTCTTTGTGCAGAATGTTCTCTGGAGGTGGAGAATCATGGAGAGGAGGTCAGATGGTACCTCTCTTCATTTGCTCCTCCATATGTAAAGGTGTGTGATGCTGGCAGTTATGTAAGAATTTTGAAAGCTTTCGTTCCTGAGGGATTTATTGATTTCGACTTCACTGTTGTCTGTTGGATCAGGGTGTCGATAGCGGTGGAGATGTTTATCGTGCCACATACTCTGCCTTCAGATGTGAGAAAGCATCTGGGACTCTGGGGATTCAAGAGAGGATGCAGGTAGGGGTGTGGATGCGTCAAACATCATCTCGTCTCTGACAGATCTAGAATTTTCTTTCAACTGATTTAAGTTTTCTGTTTTGTTTTGTAAAAAGGTTCCATTCGCTTTCCTTCCACGTGACCGGGGAGATTATGCGCAGTTTTGGGATTTGGAATGTCACCCAACAGCCAAACCTCAGCACAAGAGCCGTGTTCGCTTCCAGTTGTGTGGTGCTGTAAGTCTATTGAATGCAGAGTTCTACTTTTTTCTGTATGCGATTTTCATAGCTAGGCTAAACTAATGTAACTGCCCTATTAATTTGCCTACTAACAACATTGACTATTAGCTAAAAGTGCCATTTCAGTCATAAATAAAGGACACTAATGCAGAAGGAGGAGTGGTAGTACTTCCCTGTTGAGTGTATTGATTCATGTGTGCAGGGCATAAGAGCAGGAGAAGCATCGAGTGTTAAAGAAAATTGCTCCTTGGTGAAAACGGAAGCCACTGTGAAGAACAGGAAGAGACTGGATTCTGCAGGCTCAAAGACTGGGTAAGGCTTGTATTCCTGTTAGAAATCTGACCTATAGAGGAAGACTTCTTTCACTGCTAAAATGTCATGGGCAATTTTGCGGTTTATTTCCAATTAATTCAGATCTTCAACTGAGAATCAGAAGAGGGGCGTTTATGCACCTCAAAGTCTGTACACATTTCCTGCCACACGAGTGGGCGCCACCAGCACACTGAAGGTTAACTTCAGAAATAACTCCTCCAACACACATGAGGTGAGAACATAGGGCTGCACTAGTCAGCACGCTAAGTAAACAAGTCAGATGACGTTTGTAAAGCGGCAGCAGCTAATCAAGAAGGTCACTTTACAGTTGTTTAAAGTCCTGTTTCTATGTGGAAAAACGCATTAAAGCAATAGTTGACTCATAAATGAAAATGTACTTGCATTTAGATGTAGATTAGTGTTTTTTTCCCCCATCGGAATAGATTTAGAAAAATGTAGCAGTACATCCCTTGCACACCAAAGGATCCTCTGCAGTGAATGGGTGCCATCAGAATGAGAGTCCAAACAGCTGATAAAAGCATCATAATAATTCACAGTAATGTACGTCTGTGAAGTGAAAAGCTGTGTTTGTCGTAAATTCATCAAAACTTTTCAAACTTCAAGTCCTCAATATTAATGATTTCTCCAGTTAAAGTCATTTATTTCATTTGATTCAGGTGAGAAATGTGAACAGTCTTTTTGATTTTTTAAAAAAATGTTTACATCAACAAATATCGATTATGGACTGGTATTTTGAGCATTAACTGATGGACTTTGGATTACTGTGATGCTTTTATCAGCTGTTTGAAATCTCATTCTGACGGCACCCATTCACTCCAGAGGATCCATTAGTTAGCAAGTAATGTAATGCTAAATTTCTCCATCCATTCTGATGAAGAAACAAATGTGTCTACATCTCGGATGGCCTGAGGGTGAGTACATTTTCTGGAAATGTTCACTTTTGGGTGAGCTATTCCTTGAAGAGGTCACAGAGCAACCATGTAATTATAAAAAAATACATTCAAGTCTAACAAATTCAGTCACTAAATGGTCTTTGCATGTTGATGAGTGCAGTGTTATTACTGCTTCTCCTAAATGTGTGGCATGAAACTTACTTTGAGGTTTTCTAATTGACTTGCAGCTAAAATTCATAAGTCCTAAAGAGCCTTTCCACATCAAGCATTCAAATTATTCTCTAAGGTGAGTCACAATCTCTCTTGCTTCCTCTTTCTCTAGTAGTAGAAAGTCTTACTGTTTGCACAAGCCAATTTAAGGAAAAATAGCAAGTAGAAAGATTTTATTGAAGCGTTCCATGTCACTTCCTGCTGCCAGTGCCTGATGTGAAGGCTCTGATTCAGAGCTCAGCCACAGGTCAGATTTGTGTGTGTGGTTTGTGGCACAACATGCATTTTACTATATGCATGTATTTGTGTACTAAATGTGTAGTGTCATAAATCATTTTTAGTTTGAGTTACATTTTAAACTGACAAACTTCTTCCAATATTTTGTTATTCGTACTATATCAGTTGGCGAGAGAATGTGGAAATGTTTTTGCAGTTTCTTGTGTTGATGTGAAATAAATTCACTTTCTTTCCATTTACTTTTTTGCTCTGTAGCATTACAAGCTAGTTTGGTTTACTATGTCTGCATGTGCTTTCCTAGATCACAACACTACATCAACCTCCCTGTTCAGTTCGTGCCAGCCACTGCGGGCCAGTTTTCCGGCACGCTACTCGTACAGACGGACACAGACGCTAAACTGATCGTAGAGCTCAGTGGAGAAGCCTTGCCATGAAGACCAGCTCAACAGCCACTCACCGCCAGCAGAGGACACTGCAGGACGTAGCTAATAATCAAGAGACATCACTTGAACTTTGTTCGTCTAAATGCTTTGCAAAAGAATGTCTGACTCTGTTTTCCACCACCCTGGGTTTTTGTGATTTTGTTGACCGCTATCATCATATAGTTACGGCCTTTTGGATAAGCACCATACAATATGGATATTATATATCCAGAATCACAACTTTATGGTGGCAAAAAAACAAAAATGACAACAGTTTATCACCTTTCTATCACTGATGTAAAAGATATCAGTTTTAGTCATTTTCTAGGATTTGTTTCCTTTCGTGTAACCGTTAATATGCGCTCACCTGTTGATAAGTGTTATCACATAATGAAGATGGACGAATATTTTAAAGAAAGATCTGCATCACCATTAGTTGGAAATTGCACATGCTTTATACAGCACAAAAAAAATAGTTTTTTTCTTTTTCTTTGTGTGTGTGTCCTGTGTATTTATTTTAAATCCGTTCTTGATAAATAAAAATTCTTAATTTTATTTATTGGCAAGTTGTCTTTGTCTTCCACTAATGTGTATCCTTATTTAACTTGTGTCCTATTTATTCACAACTGGTTATTTTATTAGGCAATCAACATTTAAAAAAAAAAAAAACTATTTATAATCCATTCATTTTTTCCATTCAAGACAAGCATTAGATTTTAGAATTGTATTTGTTCAATTGAAATTTTTATTTTCATTAAAAGTAAAAGAGGGAAAAGGGCATTAAAACTAATTTTAAATATATCCATATGTCTGAAGATATACATATATAGGGCCTAAATTCATGTGCAACACCGTTATGTTATAATTTGATTATATTGATTCTCTAGTTTACACAGGCTCCTGCAATTCTTCCTTCAAAGGTTTTCAAACAATTACTTAAATACATGATCCATCTTAACAGACTGTACATCCTTCTTTTCAATCAAACGACTGTTACCAAACGGGTAACGAAGCAAGGGAAGTTAGCTCAGTAGGATGTTCAATATGAAGACCGTTTTAGTCCATGATGGGATGTAATGCATCCAGACCCGGAGTGTTTTAACATTCCCCCCCCCCCAAAATTTGTTCCAAACCTGTACGATGTTCTCCATTCTGTTGAACTCAAAAGATATTCTGAAGAATGTTAATAACCAAACAGTTGCCGGTAGCCATTGACTTCCTTTTTTTTCACTTGCTACACTCTTAAAAATGCTGGGTTAAATACAACCCAGTGCTGGGTAAAATAGGGACAAACCCAGCAATTGGGTTATTTTGAACCAGCGGTTGGGTTACTACCCAGAAGGTTGGGTTAAACATTTATTCAAACTGCTGGGTCAAAACAGCCCAATTGCTGGGTTTGTCCCCATTTTACCCAGCACTGGGTTGTATTTAACCCAGCATTTTTTTTAGAGTGTAATGAAACTTATAGACACAAGCCCATGTTTCAATCATTTTTAAAATGCTCAAAATAAAATTTAATAGATCATTTTGCAATGCAGAGATATTTCCCCTCCAAACTAGTCTAAAAACAAAATGCACATATTAATGCACACATAAGACTGCAAAGCATGACTTATGTGTATTATAGACCCCAGAGCCTATAGGATGATCAGCTGATATCTGATGTTCAGAATTAGAACAGGTGGCTGTTGTTGTTCTGCCCATTCCCATTTGAATAAACTCATTATCTGATCACTTCCTCAATGTATACATAGATTTCCCCATATCAGTGTGGAGCTGCTTTAATGTCAAAGGCATTCGCTCACCTCGTGTGCCTACAGTGGTCATGCAGGTGTTCAGAGGAGCCTGACAGTCCTGAAGGTTTTTGTTACATTCCTGATTTGATGTTGCGGAGCCACACACATAACACTTTTAATGCATTTACTGCAAAAGAAATAATAGTCTGGTTATTCAAGAAATACAATAGCTGGTTATGTACTTGCTCAAATATTGATTTCGGATCACTTTTAACCATAAAAAGTTACGGACTGCAGCTTTAAGCAGCACAACTGTGATGATAACAATAAAAAGCTTTCTTGTCGAGCACCAAATCAACACAATAGAATGATTTATGAAGGATCATTTGACACTGAAGTCTAGAGTAATGGCTGCCAGATGTGACGTAATAATGGGGCAGCATGCTCGAATTTCCCGCGAAAACCTACCCGTACCACTCAAATTAGAAAACATTATTATAAACTGACCGTTGTGAATCGGGCTAAATAAGGCGATAGTTTTGAACACTGGCTGGTTATGTACTTGCTCAAATATTGATTTCGGATCATTTTTAACCATAAAAAGTTACGGACTGCAGCTTTAAGCAGCACAACTGTGATGATAACAATAAAAAAGCTTTCTTGTCGAGCACCAAATCAACACAATAGAATGATTTATGAAGGATTATTTGACACTAAAGTCTAGAGTAATGGCTGCTGAAAATTCAGCTTTTTCATCACAAGAATAAATGACCTTTCAAAAATATTAAAATAGAAAATAGTTGTTTCAAACTGTAATTACATTTCACAATAATACTGTTTCTTCTGTACTTTATATTAATTTCTTACAGCCTTGTGACGCATATAAAATACTTATAACATTAAATAATTCCAAACATTTGAATGGTGTATATATAGTGTATATAAAACTTGTATATATATATATATACAGTATATATATATATATATTAGTGCTGTCAAGCGATTAATCGCATACAAAATAAAAATTTTTGTTTGCGTAATATATGTGAGTGTTCGGTATATATATATATATATATATATATATATATATATATATATATATATATATATATACACACACACACAATTTAAATTACATAAGTAATGTAAATATGTGTGTATATCTCAAACAAATCTCAACACTGTTTAAAAATAGCACCTGAATTTTCTATCAAAAACTGTGAACCATATTAGAGAACTGCTGTTTCAAACTAGATTACAAACAATCAACATTGAAGCACGTTAAAAATCCAACATATATGAAAGCAATTCAAGCAAGTGAATCAGAAGCCATATCTGAGTGTACAGTTAGAAGTAAAAAGAGCAGACTAGAAAGAGTCGCCATGCTGCTGAAGCACTGACTGACTGCATGTGTGGGAGAGTTCACTGGGTGTTCACAGACTCAAACTCACTGTCTTCCCAAAGATCCACCCAGCAGACATTCAGTCACGTCTCCTGTGAAAAGACAAGTGAAAGAAGACACACATTCCCTCATACTTTTGGACTGGTGTCACAACGTGGCTATCAGATTCTAACATGACGACGCTTAGATGTGAATTTTACAGACACAGAGCAATTTGTATGTAGCTATGTCGCGGATGATGTGTGCGTTTGACTTTTTGTGCGTTTTCCATTAATGGGTGAAACTGCCAAAACAAAGATATAATCATCTCCAGTTTTATCTTCGAGTTTTTTCAGGTTTTGTTTAATGGCAACAAGGTGAAAAAGCCAGAAGAAAAGAATTATATTGTCCAACTTTAATTAAAGCATGTTTTAGAAGACAAAGGAAACCTAGATATAGTCAAACAGACATGTATTTGACATTTCTTTCATGGAAAATTTGTCTTTCATAATAAACAAGACCAAGTAATGCACATGACAAAATAATACTCTTAAAACATTCTGAATAAATACTGTACTGAAGCTTGCTATTTCAGCAAATTCTCAAATTAATTTCCTGTCGTATCCGCAGCAGAGGTGAGCATGTCAGAAATATCTGCGTTGCGGTTCAAATGCAAAACCAAGATAAATGCAAAGCAGCTAACTCAAAATGTGTTTCCAAATCTGTGCAAAGTTCTTTTGCGTTCAAAGCAACTAGTGGGCGATTTTCTAAATGTTTGAAAACAGTAGTGTAGATGCGGTAATCATAGGCATTGCCATTGCAGTCATTCTTTCAGAGGTTATAAAAGCACTGGTGGGTGTTGCTGTAGTTTCCTTCAGAGCTTACATCACTTTCTAATTGTTGGTTGGATCGGCCTGAGTGAATATTACACACGGATTTAATCTAAAGCAGGTGTGCGCTGCTAATCTCTTCAGGTCTGTCTTGTTCAAGTAAAAATGAGTGTACTGTAAGTGTAGCTCTGTCGGATTTCGCAGCAGACAGCAGGAGGCAGGCTCATTACAAGGATACACAAAGAGAACTTTCAGTGACTGTAATGCCCTTCTTCAATTTTTGTAGCGTTTCTCCTGTATTGCATGCATGGAGAGCGCAAGCTGTCAGAGAACGCCGTGGAGGGTTAGTCTTCATGTGGCTTTCCTTTGGGTTTCTTCCTGTGTGACGCCCCGTAATCACGTGACCTGGACTTGCTCACTGGGTAAATCCTGAAGACAGAAATGAACAACATTTGAGCCATTCCACCGACTAATTACTGTACTCTCAACAAGGAATGGGAAACTACTCTGTAACTGTAGTTTGTAAAGCTAAAAGCTACTGGTAATTTAAAGTACAGTCACGTTTGTTTGTGTATAAATTATACACATTTATGTGATATATGTGTGTGTGTTCTGGTATATATTTACAGTGGCCAAGAGAGCTCAACGTTCTGCAAATGAAAAAAACACATGCAAATAGAAAAAAACACTAGCAAATTAAGAAAACATCTTCATCCGTTTGACAAAACATATACTGCAAATATGAAAAATATATGAAAATGCGCTACAAAAACATAAACGCGCTGCAAACACAACACAACCAAATACAGAAACGTGCTGCAAATACTCAACAACACAATAAATTACAGAAATGCACTGCAAATACTCAAAACACAACCAAATACAGAAACGTGCTGCAAATACTCAACGCAACCAAATACTCACAACACAATCAATTACAGAAATGCACTGCAAATACTCAAAACACAACCAAATACAGAAACGTGCTGCAAATACTCAACGCAACCAAATACTCACAACACAATAAATTACAGAAATGCACTGCAAATACTCACAACACAACCAA